GTGGATTTTTGAAAAGTGAAGGTAATGTTATTTCCAAAATCCCGTATATCCAAAAATAATTTATGTTTTAAAAATTCCTTCCTACTAAAAGTTGTAGTACTTACAAAGTTATGCGAAATAAAAAAAAATTCATGACATTTGGAGTGCGGAGCACAAAGTTATGACCCTCCAAAGTTTGGCGAAATCGGAAAAAAGCTCGTTTGTGGCTTGCAAGATCTCGAAAAGTTAGGCGGAATTAAAAAACAATAAAATTGCAACGATCGGATACCCGAGCACAAAGAAACTTTCGTTTGAAGTTTCCACCTAAGTTAGAATTTATCGAAAAACAATTATGGACCAAACCGCAGGGTGGGGAAGCGCTTTTGGGCCAAACCGCCCTGACCCCGAGCGGTCAACAAAACCGCCCACCACCCATGCGGTTTACATCGAAATAAACACACGCACGACACAAAAATATAGAAACAAAATACGAACAAAAAACTAAAAAGAAAATTGAAATAAACACAAAGGCAGAATTATCACTCCGAACGCTGGTTCTAACGGAACTAACCTTGACTCAGAACTGAAAAATTAAACATGAAGATGTCCCTGATGACGATGCCAAAATTTGATGTCGATTTTAGTGTTGCTGCCAAACTTATCGGGCCTTGGGGCCATGATCGTATTTCATAGGGCCTCTCAGAACCCTTACTTCGGAAGCGAGGTACGGTTTTGTTGAAGAAGAGGTTGGTTTAGGAGTTTGAGGTGCCTCTGGTTTTGTAGAACGTAAGAGCTCGAAAATTAAAGCGGTGCATAAAAGTAAATCCAAAGCTAATTGACGAGTGAGATATTAGAGAAGGAACGCGTTGCATAGGCAAGCTCCCATTAGGTCTCCTAATCATGCACCCTTCAAGATCAGAAGCATACGAGCTACTGATTTTTTATTCCCTAGATCCACATTGTGTCAAAGCATTTACTCGAACTAATGGGCGACAAGGACCCTTCGGATTTCTCCCTTGAGGTGTCACGCCTTTTGATCGTGTGACTGATAACACCGCATTTGTACATGTTGTTCCTTCATTTCTTGATCGTTTAGCTTAGCGATTGATCGTTCCTCGGCCTATTTTACATTAGGTTGTGTTCTTATGTCATATTTCAGGTCCTAGTACATAGATATGGCTTGGGGATGAGTTTCGGAACATTTGGAGGTGAAAGAAGTCCGATGGCGAAAATCGGGCAGCAGGGCTGCTGAGAAACATGCCCTCAAACACATCCTCTGTGCCGAAAAACACGGCCTTGTGTCAGAGGCCGGGTTTTTCCTCAGCACTTCACAAAATCGTCATTTCGAAACACGACCTCTTCTGATTGAAACACGGTCGGGTTGTTTGGGCTCAAAGGCCGTGTTTTTTGCACCTGTGCGGGTTTTATTGGAGAGGAGCTCATATTTTGAAGGATACGACTTTTTGGAGCAAAGACAGAGTTCTAGAGAGAGAAAGTGATGAAGAACCAACCCTAGGAGCTATTTGGAGTGGATTTCTCACCATTGAAGCCCAAATTTAGGAGTGAAGATTGACATCCTAGAGCAGATTATTCTCATTTTTATAAGTATGACTGCTTTGAGATGATATACTGATTGATTTTAATCGATTGAAGTGTGTTTATTGAGTCAATTGAATCCTGATCAACTTCTCTTGATTTCTGCTTTAACCTGTGATAGATAGAATCTAATAGGTTGTTAGAGCTTCTTCAATCGATAGGAGTGAATTGATTGTACGAGAGTCAGTCAATTCACTACTTTGTATTGGAATTTATTTTCAGTAGTGGAGTTCTGTGTCAATTGCCTTAGCATTCTATCCCAATGAGGACTAGTCGTTTGCCGGTTTGTCTGTCTAAGAGGGCTTGGTCAGCTTAAGAGATTTCAAACTACTGTCGGATCTTGCGCAGTTTAATCAAGAGTGAATCAACCAAAGGAAATTACAACTTGGACCTAATTGAGGAGCTAGGGGGACTCATTCCCGAGTGACTCTTCTCTTGCTTCAGAAAACCAGACAATTTATTGCTTTCTTTTTGTTTTGGTTTGAATTCATATTCACTCACTTAGTCCCGCTAGATAACAGAAGTTCACGGAGTTGGCAATATATCTAGACCATGGGTTGATAAATAAAACTTACCCACTATTATGCATTTCCAAACTGCGATTGTTCTTGGTCGTAGTTGTAGACACCATATTTTATCCGGATCTAAATCGAACATAAATATTTGCATGTTTATCACTGTGATGGATTGCCAAGCTAAAAAAAATATGGATTATGATTTGAACCTGGATTGCGAGTAAGGATTGAATGTATTATTAACCGGTTCAAAGTCCCATTACATGCAATTACAAAATCTCAACTCTGCTACACATATCCAAATTTCAAATACAGATAGATTGGAGCACCCAGAAATCCAAAATGCCTTGCCGTTGCTGGAAAAAATCCCAGAATACACCAATTATTAAAAAAAATTACCAAAATACAGTACTTATAAAAGTAATTCCCAAAATACAGCAGTTTCAACATCACTGTCTTTGTCTAAGACAGTGATGTTGATCACCGTTTTGGTCTAAAACGATGATACATCACCGCTTTAGACAAAAGCAGTGATGTTATCACCGCTTTAAACCAAAGCAGTGATGCCATCATCGCTGTCAAGGACGACAGTGATGGCATCACCGTTGATGTGGCAGGCAGTGAAGCCTTCACCGTTGGATCCAACAGCGGTGAAGGGGCGCGGATCGCTGACGTGGACGCGCGCGGGCACTTCACCGCTGAAGACCAAAGCGGTGATAGCCCCGCTTTCCACGTCAGCGATCCACGCCCCACCCCGCGCCTTCACCGCTGCCGTCGGATGCAGTTATGCGCGGATTGTGGTTTTTCTCCACAATCCGACGCATCAGGAGAGGCCACGTCAGCGATCCCTGCCCATCACCGCGTCCAACAAAGGCGGTGATGGCGCTGTGTTTGTTTGGGGCGGTGATAACTGGCCAGGTGTTTTCCCAGCCCCAAACCCTATAAATACCCATCCCCCATCTCATTCCAAACCACACCACCACTTCATACTTCTTTCTCCCTCCATTTTTCACTCTAGTTTCGTTCTAAGTATGCTCTGTGGTTGCGGCTAAGTCCGATCTTCCGCATCAGAAAGAATTACTAGAGTTTTTGTTTTGTTGTTTTGTCGATACTCTCGCTAGCTTTTCGGCAAAAAATGGACGAAGAGGCTTTGAGAGTACGTAAATTTACTTAATTCTTTTGTGCTTTTTTTTTTACATGGGTGCTAAAATTTAAATTGATTTGATTTCATATTTTTTTATAGATGGGTGCTGAGATATACGACCCTAGATTGTATATCGATCCTGGCCCAAGGGATCGAAGGTATTTAACCGGGCAAGATCAACATCGCTCTCGTTCAATTTGGAACAATAATCCGGTAGATACACTACAATTATTTCAATAGTTTTAAAGTTTTTATTTTGCTTTCTATTGACTGACAATATTGTGTTTTTTGTTTTGTAGGAATCACTTATTCCCATCAGTCATCGAGGTACATGTCGATTGCCCCGTTGGCATCCTCGACTGCATCCCTATCTAGAGAGGGCGGGATTGCACAATTTGAGGCACTTTATGAGGCTAGATATTGACAACGATCTGCTGACGGCAATGGCAGAGCGATGGCGCCCTGAGCTGCATACCTTCCACTTTCCCGAGGGTGAAATGACGATCACCCTCAAAGATGTTGCCATCCTCACCGGGCTCCCGATCACCGGAGATGCCATCATCGACAGCTCGAGAAAACCAGAAGATGGTTGGGGGCCATTGATTCAGGAACGTCTGGGGTTCAACATGCCGACCACCACGCCCGTCGAAGGGGTTGGGCATCCACCACTGAATGCGGGGCAAGTATCGATCCCGTGGCTTGTTGACCACATCCAATTGGAGGTTAATATAGGCCCGGATACTCCTGAAGATCAGGTGGAGCGGTATGCACGTGTATACCTAATTGCCTTGGTTGGTGGGTTTCTGTTCCCCGACAAGTCAAATAAGTGGATACAAGGCATGTGGTTCCCTATGCTCCTCGGTGACTGGGACGAGATCGGGAGAAAAAGTTGGGGGTCGGCCGTCTTGGCTGGAATCTACCGAGAGTTGTGTACTTGCTCGAGGTTGGGAGCGAAACAAGCTGGTGGTGCGATGTTCATACTTCAACTCTGGGCATGGGAGCATCTTCCGTTTCTCGCACCTCAAGACCCTCGGGAATTCTGGTTGCCAGATGATGAGCTACGATTTGTAGCAAATCCCCCATATGGTTTCAAGTAAGTTCAATTTAAGTTGAATTTATTTTAGATATGCAATGGTAGCTAGTTAGGTGAATTTAGATTTTAGTGAACTTAGTGAACTTAGTATGCAATTTTAAGTATGCAATTATAGTATTTTAGTGAACTTAGCTATCTTCCAACTAAGCGAATTTAGAGACATTTTAGGTCTGCAATTCTAGTATTTTAGTGAATTTAGATATCTTCCAAGTAAGTGAATTTGGATTTATTCTAACCAAATCGTATTTAGCTAATTTAAAAATTGCTTATATATGTACTTTTGCTTAATTAGGTGGATCGGAGCAAATACTAACGACCACCAGGCCGAGCACTCTTTACTGTTTTATCGTGCTGAATTTGATAAGCCTTGGTGGAACCAGGTAAAAATATTGAATGTCATGATTTTCAATTTATTAGGTGGAGTGGATATAATATTTACTAATTACGTGAATTGTAATGATTGTAGGCGGTATGGGATCCATATCCAAATGAAGTGGTTGAGTTGCATCGTCTTAGACATCCCGAGGATCAAGAGACATGGTTGTGCAAGGTGCCCTTAATCTGCTGGCACATGGTGGAGTGGCACCTGCCCGATCGATCTTTGAGGCAATATCGATTGGAGCAACCAATTCCAGCATCCCCACCTCAAGGGTTCAGGGAGCTCCACGCCATTGACCTACGCTACAACAAAAAGGATTGGACCCGCAAGCATGAATTCTACATCAACATATGGGAGAATAGAAATCAGTGGGTGGTCCAAGGGGCGCCGGAGACAAGGCCAATGGGGTACCACGATGGCTACATGCGGTGGTATCGGCACTTCACGCTAAGATGGGTGTCAAAGCAAGGTGCTGTTTGGGGCGCAGTGGTAAGTGAATTCCATTTTGGCCTATTTTAGTTAATTTTTGTAGTATAATTACATGCCTATATTTGCTAGAATGTTAATTAACATTATTAGATTTAATGTTAGTTAATTTTTGTAGTATAATTACATGCCTATATTTGCTAGAATGTTAATTAACATTATTAGATTTAATGTTAGTTAATTTTTGGAGTATGATTACATGCCTATATTAGCTAGAATGTTAATTATCTATATTAGAGTTAATTTTAGTTAATTTTTGTAGTATGATTACATGCCTATATTAGATGATAGAAATCATTATTAGATTTACTATTAGTTAATTTTGTACAACAATTTATTAGGTTGACGGTTTGGAGCATGCGAAGCACACCGTCGAGAGTGCACCCACCATGGATGAGCGGAAGACATCTTTTTTGCGCAGGCTTTTCAACAACTTGCTCTGTTGTACCAGAGAGCAAAGGAGGGATGTCATATTATACCCTCCAGTGCCTGCTCCGGCCCGACCTTCATTCCGTGCTGATGAGAGGATTGTGCCCCCAGAAGAGCCCCCACGGAGGAGCAGAAGAAGGGTGAGAGAACACATTGATGAGCTTCGTCCGTCTCAACAAACTCAACTTCCTCAACCATGGCCACATTGTGAGTGGGCTACTAGTACTGAGGGAACCGGAGGGTCGTCAAGCTATGCCCCGACGATGGAGCATGACATGTTCACCCAAGCCACCCCTCAGTTCCACCATCAGCAACAAACTACTCAGTATCAGACCCCGCAACAACAACATACATCATCGACTTTCTACCACACTTCTGGTCCAACTCAGCAACCTCCACCCCCACCACCTGTCTACACTCCGGTGGGTGGTCGGGTTAAGAGGAATCCGCGCGCAGTTGTCCAGCGGGCTCGTGAAGAAGGAGGAGGAGGTAGAGAGGGCGGAAGAAGGGGCCGAGGAGGTCGTGGAGGAAGAGGAAGAGGAAGAGAAGGGGAAGTGGAGGGAAATGAAGACAACCAGTGAACTATCTATGTCGTTCTAATTTAGTTCCATCTTTTTTTGTTTTCCATGAACTATCCATGTCGTCTAAATTTGGTTTGGGGCTTGTGTTGTTTTCCATGAACTATCTATGTTTCTAAATTTGGTTTCGGATTGTGTTGTTTTCCATTAACTATCTGTCGGCTAAATTTTGTTGGTTTTTACCCCCATGTTGTACCAAAATGAACAACAAACGCCCTTTATTACAATCACTCAACAAGATTAAAACAAGAAGTCCAAATTAAACATCACAACAACGAAAACTACTCAACAAGATTAAAACAAGGAAGTGAACAACAACAACATCAAGGTAGGTTCGGAATTGGCGCCGAATCTTGCTCTAGAGGTGGACCTGGGCAACGCCTCTTGTCATGACCCGGTTGTCTGCACTTTGAGCAACGCTTTGGACCCCGTCGGGCACGTTGTGATTGGTCCATTTCATTGTGAATCCTTTCGGTCCTAGGACGACCTTTGGTGCGCTTTAAGTGTAACGGTGGGATAATCAACTTCCCATAGTCTACAGGCCAATAAGCTTCATCCGGCAGGGGGCTAAAACTTGACGAGTAGGAGTTCCTGATCGCCTGTTCCGTGTAGTAAGGACTAACCAAACTGTAAGCGCTGAGGGTTATCGACTTAGCTACTGCCATTGCATGTGAACAAGGTACTCTTCTGTTTTGATACTTTTGGCATGTACACTCTCCGGTGCGAGTTTCTACGTGTAGAGTTACGGATTGACGATTATGCCCACGTCTTCCTCCACCCCAGATACCTGTTTGCACAGCAAAAATACCCTCATTGCGGTTGAACAGAACAACTCTGTGCTTACTTGATTTCTCTTCGATCTTCTGCATGCCGTCAAATATATGCTTAGCTATTGAATGACCAGCACGCTCCCTCCCTATAGCAGCATCCCGTCTCTTCACAAACCACTCGTTTACCTTCCAGTATGTCATCTCCACTAGGACAGATACAGGCATTGCCCTAATGCCCTTGTAGACTCCATTTATGCTCTCCCCATGGTTGGTAGTTGCAATTCCGAATCTAGCCCCGTTGTCCATGTGAAATGTCCACATGTGCAGATCTTGACCTTCTGCCCATACTGCTCCCGCCCGGTGTATTTGACGGATCGTCTTCATCTTCTGCTCGTACTTTTTTGGTTGATGTGCAACCGCTACAAGACCGGAGAATTAATAATTAATCCATAAGAATTGTCATTTGAACAATAAACCTTGAACAAGCACTGAATTACATTATTACCTGCACTCCATAATTGATCTCTGATGTCTTTCTTCTTGCCAAATTTGTGTTGGAAATTGGCTAGGAAGTGACGAATACACCAACGCCATGTCCATCCCCATTCGTCCGGGAAACCACGGACGGCGTGTTTAATCCCGGCATGTCGATCCGATATAATTGTAATACCCATTCTTTGTGTGACGTGGGCGTGTAGCTGGTCAAAGAACCATGCCCAACTTAGGTTGTTCTCCCCTTCAACTAATGCAAATGCTAAGGGAAAAATACTTAAATTTCCATCAACCCCAGTGGCAATAAGAAGAGTTCCTTTATACTTCCCAGTAAGGAAAGTTCCATCAACCTGTTAAAATGAATACTGAGTTAGTAAAAATTGAAATTAGTAAAGTAATGAAATAGTACAATATTTTGAGTCCGTAATATACCTGGATCACTGGCATGCAGAAGGGAAACCCGTCAATGCATGGCTTGAATGTCCAGAACAGACGATGAAACATCAACTCGTTCTGTACTCGAACTTGATCTTCAGTTTCTACGTTGTTGTACCAAGGCACGAAAACCGTCCCAGGGTTGGACTCCTCCATTGCAGACATTAGTCTGGGGAGTAAAGCATACGAGTCATCCCAATCATCGTAGACATCAGCCATGGCCTTCTGCTTCCCATGCCACGCCTTCTTATACCTTATGGTGTAGGAGTGTCGATCCTTCACCTCCGCCATGATAGCTTTTATCTTGATATCTGGTTGTGCCTCGATAAGGTGCTTAATGGTTCTTGCCACTTTTTTTGCTTTCAGTTGCCGGTGATCCTGTGAAAGTATGGTTGAGGAGCAACTGTGGTTGTTCTCTGCTGTCCGCATGACCCAGACCCCCTTTCTCTTCATATATGCAGCACGAAGTTGCCACATACAACCCTCTCCAGCATTCTTACAAATGACATGCAGTTGTCCCTTGTCAGAATATTTTACCTTCCATTCGAAATTACGCCGCATGGCTTCTTCGCTAAAAGCGTCTTGCACATCGGCTTTCGAAGTGAACGCCATACCCACTTCCAAATTAGCAGTCGGATTATACACAGGCATGGGCCGATAGTCAGGGGCATCGTTCTGACCATATAAAAATTGATCAGGAACCTCTGTGTAGTAAGGCGTTGGTGCCTGTCGGAACGCCACCTCACTGTCATCGATATCGTCGTTATCGTCCGCATCTTCCTCCTCACTGACTGATCTCAAATCTTCCTCACTTTCATCGTCACTGGAGGCGAATGGATAGCTCGGCGAAGGAGGGTCATCGTTAGCAGCATAACCAGCATCGCCTTCTTGGTCATGCGAAGTACGCCCAGTTCGAAGGGTGTTTTCAATGTCACCCCACTCTGGACCCCAAGCAGGCCATTGATCACCGTCGGGCTGAACGATATCGACGGCAGTCTCACCACCATGTGGCAGGTATTCTTCCCACCCAACACCTCCTTCAGAACTACCTCCTCCGTAGTTGCTTGAAGTACCTCCCCAACCATACCCTCCGGCAGAAGAACCTGCTCCGTAGTTACTTGAACTACCACCCCAGCCATACCCTCCTGCAAAACCATCATCATAAGAATACTGGTGAGAATGAGTTTCACCGACCGGCTCGGTCTCGACATACACCTCTGCAAGCCGCACCCCGTTCTCAGATATGAACTGTGTCATCATGTTCGCGTCGTCATCGTCATTTATGTCAACTCTTTCGTACATGACTCCGTCAGCACTCATGTTGGGATACCGGTAAGTAATTTGACGAACTCTCATTTGCCCATCCGTACAAGTCCTTTCTGCACACCTGTCATGGAGTTCTTGCCACGAGAATCTCGACTCAATTGTAAGCGAACTGGATTCGCCATCTTCATAGTCGATCCCAATGTTCGAGTTTGTCACCCGACCATTCCAATAAATAATAAGCCGAAACTTCTTAAATTTACCCATGTCTGCAATTTATAATAATTAAGTATAGTATATAATTAGTACATCTTGGATACAAAAACAATATCATCCAAAGCGATAATAAAATGCAACTAATTTATCTATTATGAGAAAACTAAACAAATTCATCTAAATTCATAACTAGCTAACTAACATCTATCATATCATAATTAAACTAAATAATATCATAACATATTTTCCAATAACCGCAATTCACTAAATACAGACAGTATAATTACTAACACATCAACATGTAAAAAATACATACTTATAACATACTCAATCCCGATCTATCATGATAACTAAACAAATTAATCTAAATTCAGTACTAACTAACTAACATATATCATTAATCTAAATATATAATTCTAACATACCTAATTCTAGCACATAATCAAAATGTAAACAATACATAATTCTAACATACCGAATCCCGACGAGTTTCTTGAGCAGTAAACTACGGAGGAACCAGCTGCGAAAACGACTTAACAAAACGATAATTTTGGTACTAATTTTCTGTTTGGCAGCAGGAGTGTTTGGCAGCAGGAGGGAAGAGGGGGCGTGGCTTTTTATAGGAAAAAATTGGGGGCAATCACCGCTTTGGACAAAGGCGGTGAACCATCATCGCCTTAGTCAACAGCGGTGATGGCTAGGTAGCTGTTACCTACCTGTCCACCTACCAGGGCTGTGTAAAACGTGGGGGCAATCACTGCTGTGGACAACAGCGGTGATGGCTTCACTGTTGATGTCCAAAGCGGGGATACGTTCCCCGCTTTTGTCAAAAGCAGGGATACAATCCCCGCCTTGGACAAAAGCGGGGAATGCATCATCGCTTTTACGTTCCCCGCTTTTGTCCAAGGCGGTGATGCGTACCCCGCTGCTTCACTGCTTTGGACAAAAGCGGTGATCAACATCACTGTCTTAGACAAAGACAGTGATGTTGAAACTGCTGTATTTTGGGAATTACTTTTATAAGTACTGTATTTAGGGAATTGTTTTTAATAACTCGCGTATTCTGGGATTTTTTCCGCCGTTGCTTGACTAGATCTGGAATCGCCGCCGGAAGGCACCATGGAATGCTTGACCGGAATATGCAGGGAGCACTCTATGAGGGTGAAAAGCTGGGAGATGAGAAACGGATTTGGTTTGATCAAAATGATGGGACGATGAGAAACGATGGGATTTGGGAGATGAGAAATGGATTTGGTGTTGGTGGCTTGATGTAGGTCGTCGAGAGGAAGAAGAAAGAAGATTAGAAGGAGGACGAGAGATGGAAGAAGATAGAGTCTCATGGAAGGGTCAACATTGGAAAAATTAGAATAAAGATGCAAGATTTAGAAATAGCTGATTCCTATTAGTTATTTTGAAATCCCTAATGCCTATAATTACTGATCTTTTCAAACGCAGAATTCTTTGAAAATCCCACATAATGAGAGATTGTTTTAAAGTCTCCCACAAATCTCTCACTACAATCCTGCATCCAAACGACCCCTAGTTTCTTTTAGCTTAATAATTGCAAGCAGTGGCAGTGATCACTGGCTAGCTTCCAATTGTTTAACTATCTCAATTCTTTAGTAGCTCGATTCATAGAGTAAAAAAAAAAAAAAAATCAGAAGACATGCACATCTCCAAAATCACAGATCTATAAACCGATTTCAAACCCACAAATTATTATTTTTTTTTATTTCAAATTCCATAATCACTTTAAGCCGAGTTTTGGACATCCTTACCAAATCTTTCTACTCCCAAAGTCTGCCAAAGAACAGTACAGTAGAGATCAGAACCAAACAATTAAAAACGAATCTAGGAAAAAGAACCAGGCAAAACTCAACATACCCTTTCTTCCCTGTCGCCCTAGGCACTCGCGAAGACGGCGATCTTTTTCTCCCCCTGTCGTGCACTGTTTCCTCCACCCCTCGCACAAATCCAAACCTAGAGTAAAGTCAGGACCTGGTTTA